CATCTGAGGTACCCTGCCTAAACGCTGTGTGGCCACTGACCAAAGGCCTGGATACAGGCTTCCAGCAGCTCCTCCACCGTCGCCGACTGCTCCAGCGCCATGGGATCCGGGTCCTTCTCCGCTTGCTGCCCCGACTCCCCGCTCGTCTGGTTCTTCATTCGCCCGCGTTCTCCACCTCGCTCCACTGTTAAGCGCCTAATCCCTTCTGCCGATTAAGAGATCAGAAAAACACATTTACGGTCGAGAGGGGATTTGAAGCCTGTAAGCTTGGAGTGGAATGGTGTTTTGGAGTTTGTGGCACCCTAACCAGCCTCTGGCTTTCAGAGGAACGGCAGCTCCATCTTCTGTGCGACCGTGAGGACACCGTGTACTGCTACTGGGCCCTCAGAATATTGTGCAACTACAGTCACTTCCACATCACTCCAGTTGCCCTGGGATGCCTGACACAGCTCTGCCCTGAACCGTACTGGGTCAGGCCCTGGGGGGTCACTGCAGCAGGGCCAGTGAACACACACACCTCCCAGCCCATTCCACCCAAATCTTGACGTCTTTGTTTGCCGGCAAAACTCCACTCGTTTGCAGCCGCTAACTCACTCTTGCGTGTTATTTAGTAACAAAACCTCATGTCTGCCACAAGTTGTACCGGATGCCGTTCGCGTAAAAATGATTCTCTTTTGGACAAGGTTACTTCCATAAGCTACAGTAGGGAAACATATACAAACATATGGGGATTTTCTGTTTTCTACATTCTTGCCTCCTTAAATTTTAACAGGAGAACCAGCCAGTTGCAGCTGTCTAAGGCTAAATTTAAGCGTGTATTAATCTGCCCGTAATGATTTTTAAGAAGTTTATTGCCAGCCATAATGAAACGTAGAGCCGATTATAAACATGGTGATGAATTTACACATGGGGTCAACAGCAGGCTCCCTCTGGTAGTGAAGTTTCTGCGAATGTCTCCATTGAGCTTTTCCTCATCACTCACATCTGGTTCCTTATTACTTTAACAGCGAGAACATGTCTAGCTTTAAGAGCCGTCACATCTCGTCCTTCCTGTTTTTCGCAGTGTCACGATTGTGGCTCGTGAAATTTCAGAAGAGTTGGAGCCGCAGAAGTTCACGCCAGTTTGGGGGTGGGGGGGGGTGGGGTGGGAACGTGATTACGATCTCTCAACGCAAACCGTTGGACGAGTGGTATCCACCCCACCCAACTCATTTAAGTCATCGTATGAAAACAGCGGCTCGGGATGTTGTGGTTTTGCAGAAGCAAGAGAAGGATCAAGGCAAATCAGCCACTAGGCTTTTAGACAAACTGGAAACTGGAGGATGGTGTCACATGACCCATTAGAGCAGAGTCAACAGGAAGCCGGAAGAATGCCGCCAATGTATTTCACTACCGTTCACAATAATGGGTACAACAACGTACATACTGCGGTTATCTGTTTATTACAGAAATAAGCATTTCCAGACCACTCCTACCCATTTTATACTATCCATGGAAAAAGTAAGAATATCTAGTACTGTGCAAATTTTTTTAAGCAGTTAAAGGGAATGTTTAAGCCTATTTATTTAGGTAGTAACTGCATATTTGCTCAAAACAAAAAACACAAGTTAACATTAGAACATCAGAGTAACTCCAGAGTAACAGAATAAAAGCTAGCAAGAATTTCTTCTGTTAAAATAGTTACTGATGTCTTGCTGGATGGTTACAGGAACTGCTTCACTTCGCAAACCCCCCCAAACCCCCCCTCAGGGGCACCCCAGCCATGTTTTTCACTTAATTAATTAAATAGTATAAAAAGTCAATGAGGTTGCGCTTAGCCATACAAGGTGCACTAGTGGTCGAATAGAAAAAAAAATATTTGAGTAAATTGGACGGCTTCTGCAAATATTTGGGTTACTTTAGGAGAGGTTGTGAAAAGGCAAAAGCTCACCCACTGACAGGCATAACAACATGAACATTATTTCAACTTCATTTTCTTTGGCTGCCTAAGACTTTTGCATAGTACTGTACATTATGGCAACAGCAGAAGAACCTCGGGCTTGTAATCCGCACGTAAACGTCAGAGAGCGGCAGCACAGATCCAAGAAACAGAAAGAGATCCATGTGCACGCAGAGCCCAAACCAGCCCCGTACCGGCCAGGAAGCACAGAGTAGCCGCCCTGCCCCTCACGGCATGGCGAACCGCCTCCCTGTACTCGTGTGATACTGACTGAATTAACTCATTCTCCGAATTCAGACGAAGCATTTACGTGAAATTATCGAATTTCCAGGCAAAGCCATCACCCGTGCCCGCGAATGTCATTCTGATATCTCACGCAGATTAGACGCCCTGGGAGGGTACAGCAAAGCCCCTTTTTCTTTGCATCTCAGCGGCGTTTCAGGGCCTAAAGGCCAGACCTCCCACTCGTTGCCAGAAAACGCAGCGTCGTAAGAAGCGGTGGGCGGAAACAGGGCTGCAGGAATAACCGCGTAAAAATGAGGCGTGAGACGGCGCTTCACGCTGGACACGCGCACAGGACGGCACACGGAGGAGAGCGCCGGTGTGACCGTCGTCATGGTAACCCGACACTAGTGCTGTAACACCAAAATTCTGACCTCGATATCGACACCGATACCAATTAAGTTATCAGGATGCCGGTACTGCAACGATACCAATGCAGAAAAAAAACAGCCAAGTGTTGTTCATCGTAGATTATACACTTTATGTAATTATGTCTCAATCATATTGCTTAAGTTAAAACACAATAGAAATCAGAAAGGCTTTTAATGATTAAGGAACTTTAAGACATATGTATAGGAATCACAAGATCATAATCACAAGACTGAAACATTAAACAAAACACAAAATACATAAGAGCCGATCGTAACAATCATAATTTCAAATTTTGGCCATCTTACCATCGTGACCATCTAATTGTCAGATCTGGACAATGACTGTATCCATATTTTTTATATATTCAGTGTTGATAACTCTGGTCAGCTGGCTGGCCTGAGATTTTTAATTCGAAACAAGTCTGCACACTCATTTACATGTATAAGTGTGAGTCAGAAAGCGTGAGCGTTGTATGCTTATTGAGCACAGAAGAAATGCAGAAGAAAAGCGTGCATAAAGGTTCCTGCATTATCTCATACCATCTGTCTGCTAGTTTTTTGTAACACTTTACTTGAAGGGGCACAAGTACTTATAATAACTCAGATACTATTTTAGTACCAAATCATAAATATATATAGTTGCTACTTCAGATAAAAGATGCGTCACGATTCATTGATGATGAACAAAGAGATTTCACTTGTGTTATTCATGACTGGTTCCTTCAGTAGTTCACAAAGGTTTACAGAATTAACAGATATAGTAAATACAGTAACTGCTTCAGATAAAAGATACATCACGGTTCATTAATGATGTATTAACATGACATCAGTATGGAACTATGACTTTGCGGTTAATTAATACTTAGGTAATAGTGTAATACTATATTTGTGCCCCGCCAAGTAAAGTGAGGGATTAAGAATCATACAGTAATGGTGAGTAATTGTGACGAACGTGATTACAGCAGAAATAAATGTCATAGTTTTGCGTGCTTATAACAATTCAATTACTTGAATACACCATATTAGGACCCTAGCAATCTATCTTCCATAGCACTTATCCAGAACACGTTCACGGTAAGCCTGGAACCTTTCCCTATACTGAATACACGGTGTGGAACCCAGGCGGATAGATTTTTAGGAATATACTGCATATTTTATTTATTTAGTCAACATAGTTTTGATCTTTCCAGTAATATTTGCCTTTGTAGTTCTGTGGTTATTGCTGTTTTTGTTATTGATGTCATTGCTGTCACTTTGGCTGCTGCTGTTTTTAAAACTCTGTGATCCTGATGAGGACAAGCGATTAGAAGATGGATGATGGATGGATGAATGGATGGATGAACAGATAACGAGAAAAATATACACCTTCTTTGTCCTGCTTATGACTTTCCTCAATGTTCAAATTTCCTTCAGTCCTCTCAATTGCTGCCACCCCCCCCAGCTATTTGGTACTTTGTGCCCAAGTCAGGAGGCCTTAAGGGGCCTTAAGGAAGCCCCCCCCCTCTCACTGCTGCTTTCTGAAGATTTCCGTTTAACACCTTGGTGGTGGGGAGGATTATAGCGGCTGGGACGTCACATGCTGGTTGTACGTACTAACAGTCACATGGTGTCAGACACCAATTAGAGAAGCAGAAGCAGGAAGCCAGAGGAGAGGGCATCAGACTTAGCAGGGAAAACACCCCTAGAACACCCACGACACAGACGCACCTAGAACACCCACAACACAGACGCACCTAGAATATTCAAACACAAACGCACCTAGTACACCCACGACACAGACGCACCTAGAACACCCAAGACACAGATGCACCTAGAACACCCATGACACAAACGCACCTAAACAGCGACAAACCTTCTGCTGGATGAAAATCCATCACATGGACCTGATTCGTACGTTTTTCTAGCCGAGCGTAAGAGCGTCGTGCCATCAGTTTACATGCAAAAAGCAGCACACAGCGGCGCCCCAAATACTTTCAGCCGGTAGCTGAAAGCGCACAGGTGACGGGGCGACACACCAAATCGCACTGGCATAAAGAACAACGGGCACCCCTGTGCTCGCCTCTCATAATAAACTCAGCAGAGCCGCAGGTGTCTCTTTTGCAGCAAACACCTACTCGCAAACTCCGCTTCTTGCCGATTTCACTTCCCATTTTACTCTGAGTCCTACTTTGTTTTGGGGTCACAGCTGGGTCAGCTCCCTTTAACAGGCAGATTTCCTGGTTTGCCGCATAACAAAAACACGTATGCGTGAGATACTGTATAGTTACCGTCCACCTATTTGCTTATCTGACCATACACCTGTTTTACATGCCGGTTTGCACGGCACAGGGTCAGGCGGGATGCAATGCCTCTCCCTGGAAGCACAGGGCACAAGGCTTGGGAAATCCAAGCACAGTTAATGACGAAGCACAGCAAACATGAGGGTGACCCTCACAAACACAGGAAGAATACCTGTGTTCTACACAAGACAGAACCTGGAATCATAATAACAATAAATAATAATAACCATAAAGGCTCGTCAACATTTACTATTGGGAACTTTCCTCCAGGGGCATATCTAAGGAGTGCCCCCCCCCCCCAAGTTGCCACCCCTCAGCAAAAAATAAAATCAAGACATTTAATTCTGGAACCCAGTCTCACATTTGATCACAAGAAAATTCATGGATAATGCTCACGATTGGCAAATTATATCGGGGTGACCCCCACCAAGGGGACCCCCCAGTAGGCAAAAATTACCAAGGGGGCCCCCCACCCCCTCCGGTCAGCAAAAAATAAATAAATACAGGGGGAACCCATTGTACAAGGTCTGCCAACGCCTCTGCCGTCCACCCACATGAACCTGTACCGATTAGCACTTTGTATTGTTTAATTACTTTCATTTATAATGGTCGTGCAAAACAAAACTTCATATTATATTTCAGATATTTATGTATGATAAAACAATAAACAGATTCAGGTTCAACAACACTCACAGTAACTGCTGTTTATTTTATGCAATAATTATTCCAATTGCAGTCAATAATCTTTATTAAATGACATTTATGTGTTGACTAAACAAGCCGTGCAAAAATCCATTATGCTTATAAATGATTCAGTTACTCTAAATTAATAAACTGTCATTTTAAAATGCATTTTAAATATTGGCTGTTTGTTTGTATCATCTGTGTAAAATAAATTTTTAATATGTACACAGCAGCATGCAGTGTTAATCTGACACGGAGTGTTCATTAAACACAATTTCAGACACTTTTAGTTTTAAATTAAGTCTGGTTGTTTGGTTGCTTTGTGGTTAGTGGGGCACGCAAGTTCAAAAGCAGAACCTCCCTTCTCGATACTGAAAACCTGGGAGGGGGGGGGGCAGGGGGTCACACCCAACCCAGATCAGTTTTACACCAGTGCTAAGAGGCCAGATGCACCGATGCTGAAACCCTGGGCCCCCCCTAATCGTGCAAGACGCACAACACTGTCACGCCTCTGGGGGTCTGCAGCACCCACCCTGCAGGGCGATATACCTCCCCGCAGCAATGGTAAACACTGATTTGCTTATCTTTTATAACAGTTCTGCATTTAATCACTTTCATCCCTTACGCTCTCACTTGTGGAGCTGCTTTGTCATAAATGAACCTAGATTGACTGAGTGCGGCTGCATTCAAAGTGTAAAGCATTTTTAAATACAGATCCCAATCACTGCACATGGCCTGCACAAAAAATGACTACTTTGTCACCGAGGCTGTAACCCTCAAGGGTCTGCCAATAATGCCCATAGCTGTAGGTAAATGTACCTTTTAATAAGGTACAGAAATGGACTCAGAGGAATATTTTTGTACCACTGGGGATACTTTAATGTTGTTTGTACCTTGGGGAACAAAACCGTACCAGGGCTGGCCCCTTTGTTTCTGACAGCGTAGATGTATGTTTCCTTCTTAAGATGTCAGCGGCATCGATCTCAGGGTATCCAGGGACTGTACCAAGACACACGGCCACAATCCCATACTGAGCAAGTCAGTGCTGTAACTCAGGGTGTCACTGAGATAGCAAAATACAACGATGCAACAGCATATCTCTCACAAAGCTCCAGAGGAAAAAATATCTGTCATTCTAGTTACTGAATTTCCTGCTGGCTTTCAATAATTACCTATACCATCCTATACCATAATTACCTACCATCACTACTACAAATACTGCCGTTACTACGAGTATTGCTGCTGCTGCTATTACTTCTACTACCAATACTTTTGCTACTGCTGTTCTAACAAAGGCACGAGTAAATGTGCTGCCTCGAACATTCTATCCAATCCTTACCGCTTCCATATTACGGCTCAACAACAAAATTGATACAAAAAAAAGTTACACATCTATGACGTCACTTGCTAAAATATTCCAGCTATTTTATCCGGTAGGTCTATTTGTACTAAAGATAAATGAAATCTACATTCGTATTGAAATGTTACTTATGTTACTATTTAGACTTTATTCCAAAAGTCCGGGTTCACTACAAAAAGAAATTAATCCTGCATAATGACTGTGGTGATCGCTATATTATTCCCGGAGAACTAAGAATTTCAAATGAAAAGTTTCTAATGGCTTTAAAGCCACAGGTGACCGTGTCAGCTGTTTAAAGGTGGGCCATACACCTTGGTGAATGTCATTAGAGGGGGTGTTGAGGAAATTGCTGCAGATTGTCAGCATTCAGCAGGAGCAAAGCTATCGCTGGAATAAGTCAGTCCTCCGTGCGAAGCGAAGCGCCGCCGTGCCGAAGGGCATCCTGTGGAAACTCTGACACTAAATCAACATCTAAATGAAAACTCTTCCGTGAAAGAGGGAAAAAAATCAAGATGCACGCACCCAGTGTACACTGAGGCCAATATGTCATTACATGTATTGTAAAATTATAGTATATTAAGTCTGAGCTACGGATTCCTTTACGTGCTCGGGTGTAAAGCAGCCTACTGTAACGGCACGCAGTTACGTGACACTAACTTTTAATAATAATAATGACAACAAACAACAGTCTTACCTTAAAATGTGAAGCAAACCAGTCGAAACTGAGGGTCGAAAACGCGAAAAAATAACGTGATTTAAATCCAAAACAAGACATAAGCGTAATCGCGTAATGAATTTACAAACAGAACTAAAAGCAATTGAATGATCCACGATCCTTTCCTTGAGTCACTTTGCCCGTATCTCAGAGCATCCAGTTACACGCCCGTATTATAAACCTTATGTGGCGATAATCTCCAGCCCAATGCCACAGTTAAAAAGTTGTTTATATTGCAAAAGCGAGGACATAAATCAAATGCCAGTCACTTTTCTATGCTTTTATAGGTTCCAGCCACTTTCGGTTCCTCCAGCACCCTGGTTAGTCATTGGCCGACGACGTGCACCGCCTCGTTACCCGTGTAAAATAACCAGTAATAATACCATCTCTTTAACGATTCGTTAGCTTGAATTTAAAGTTTAAACATATGATTCATAATTGACATAGAATTTTTATAATGCTAGTTATCATAGCTAAAATGTAGGCTGCTCTTTCGATCCTGTTCCAGGAAACGTGAGATGTTCGTTAGATCTGCTGTAGTATGCAAAAACCCAGTCTCCATTCCTTGTTTTGTGTAATTGCTTGAGTGCGAGTCGTTTGAAGTGCGTCCTTTGATAGCAAAACATGCCTCGGTGACACAGCTCGCCGGTAGACAGGCTGGCACAGCAAACTCCGCCAGCGCAAGCCGCGCCTCTCACATATAGGCCTACAAAATGTAAATACGCGTTTTTAACGCGAGGTATCGTTTTTACCGTACTGTATAAGGAGAACGAGGCAAAAAAAACATACTTTCTTGGCCACTTCCTTTGTAAAATAACTAAATTTTAAACAAATAAAAAACAAATAATGATAGCATAACAATTTAAAGCACTGTATTGTGTATTCTACTAATAAAACTTTACATGCACATTAGCTAAACAGGGACTAGAGTCCCAAGTGAGGTGGGGGTTAGAGTCTTCTCTGAGGTAGAGGTTAGAGTCCCCTGTGGAGTAGAGGCTAGAGTCCCCTGTGAGGCAGGCGGTAAAGTCTCACGTCTTTAGTGATTTTGTATTTTTTGTTTATTTTTTTGTGCTTATTGTAATTTCTTGTGTGCTTATTTTCATTTCTTTCTTATTATTTCAGAATGTCTGTAAAGCACTTTGTAAACCCTGTGGTTAGAACAGTGCAATATAAATAAAGACTGATCTGATATACATATAGAGAACTGATCACCGACTTGTATGTATTAACGATAACTCCGTATATAATACTGTACTGCAGTGGACAGTGGACTGCAGTGGACAGAGCTAACACTGTCACCAAACACCTCCAGGGTTTTGGGTCTGGGAGTTTGCATATTTCTCTTGAATTATGTGGGTTTCCTCCCACAGACCAAAGACACACAGTTAGCAGAGTCTCTAAATTGGTCCTGGACGCATATCTACAAATACCGTGAGAGCACCGGGTGTGTTTAGGGGGTTGGGGTTCGGTGCCGATTTGGTCCCTACACCCTATGATTTATGTGCCCTGCAAAGAACACACTACATCCTACGTGTACCCCAGGTATGTGCCCCCACACCTGAAACATTGACCAATAAGATCAACAGCTGGAAGATGGGTGGTTGTGTAATTCTTTCAGTTAAAAACTAAAAGCCTGTAATTTATGTTTTTTTTTTAGGGTTACAAATTTAGCCATTTATGAAACTTCGTGTTTTCACAATGCAGCGGTCTAAAGTGTAATTGTTTTGCACCAAAATCGTTGCGTAATTTCCTGGTAGTGAGAAAAAGAAGAAAAAGCAACTTCATATTTGTTTATTTTTGTTCTCAGAACATGGGAGCTGGTGTTGATATTTGCTTGCTGCGACCTCGCCCATCGCCGATCGCACGGTGCCTTATGCGGGTTGGTTAAGATGTGGTTTACCTACCGCTCAGTGAACGTAATCTATGGAGTCACGTGGGTCCGAACATGAACTCTGCGGCTGTTTATATCCAGTGCTTGCACTTGAAAGCTGTTTCTGTCACTCACCACCCCGATGCTTAATGTTTTTAACCTTTTCAAATGTATATTTCCAGTACGTTTCTCTTCTTCCCAGTAAAAGAACAGAAGCAAATTACATACGTGAGGGCTTCTATCACTGTACCCCTGTTAAACTCACCTAAAACTTTGAGACACCATAATTGTTGCCCAAATGATGTTTTCCATGTCGCTGAAATCCAAAGGCGGTTAGGCTAAAAACTACTCACCCCTTCTGGAGGGTGGGTAAAAGCAGGATTTCTCGGTTAGCTGGGTTTAACTTAGCTAGAAGTCATGACTGTCCAATAGAAATGCTCCTTACCTAAACACTTATTGGACAATCATGAGTTCTAGCTAAGTTAAACCCAGATAACCAAGAAATCCTGCTTCGTGGAACACCCCCTGGTGTCATTTGTTTGTTTTTAATAAAAAAAAAAAAGTGTTGTTGGTCACCGTCTCTGCATTGGAAGGGACACAATCAGCAGCTGAGATGCAATCAGTTACTTCAGGATTCCTCCAACAAATGTACTTTTTGATAGAAGACAAGCCTTTATGTGACATTAATTGCACTGTCGGAAGTATTTATTTGACATTCTGAATAGCACATGACACAGTGACACACTCCGATGCAGTGGAGATTATGCAGTGGAAGGGTCTTTTTATAGCTTCCAATGCAGACTGATGTACCCCTTCCCTGTGAAAAAGGCCCGTAATCAAAACCGAACAGTGCAGCTTAACAACTGCATGCCGCATTATGAAGAACTCGTAACATCTGACAGAACTTCTTATATATATGCATACCTTTATGATTATCCATCCATCCATTTTCTGAAACCGCTTAATCCTAAATGGGGTCGCAGGGAGGCCCAGAGCGTATCCCGGGAACAATGGGCGCAGGCGGGAACCAACCCTGGGCAGTCGCCAACTCACCACAGTTATTATGATTATCGATTATATTATTTTTCGTAACCTATCTAGTGAGCAGGAAGCCAACCCAATGAACCAGATAAGTCCTGCTGGCTTCGTCTAATTTCTGTTTGTTTTAATTACTGATCAACATACATCACTGCAGCTCCACTGGATGAGCAGCTATACCAGGGGTCTCAAACTCTAGTCCCGGAGGACCGGAGCCCTACAGTTTTTGGTTCACCATTATTTAACACACTTGATTCAACTCCTTGTGCTAATTACCACACAGCTCTTGTGCTGAATCATTTGTGGTGGAACAGGGAAAGAACCAAGCTACACAGGGCTCCAGCTCTCCAGGACTGGAGTTTGAGACCTCTGAGCTATATAAAACAGGAGATTCACATATGCATACTACGCATCCTCATTACGACCAGCAGAGGGCACTGATACACCGGTATATCATTATATTTTCACATATACTTCAATCATATATGGAAGCTGTATATCGAAATCAGTGTTTGGCATCTCAGAATGTTCTAGAAACACTAAACTGTTATTGTATAATGAGACCATATTTGGACTGCCTATTATCATCTCTAAGACTGTTAAATTAATAGCAACTGATCGTTTGGAAATGAAACATTAGAAAATAAAGAGCAGAGTTCATTAAAATTAAATTCCCAGTGTTTCAAAATCAGATGTTTCAAAATGGCCAGTTACGTTATCCCCATAAGAGAACCAGCCATGGCCTGGTACAGAGTTCTGCTGTGACCTTTCCGCTCCTCTCCCGCCTGGCTGCAAACACTAACCAGCTGGGTCATCGTCCCACACTGCACTGGGAGACGACGGCACTGGGAGACGACGGCACTGGGAGACGACGGCACTGGGAGACGACGGCACTGGGAGGCTCGTGCCGTTTAGATGTAACAGACGCCGCAGACTGGGCTAGTTAGAGACCAATGTGTAGTGAATGTGAAACCATACAAACGGAAGATGGCAAAATAATTTAAACATCCTTTAATCTAAGAGAATAATTCTGTATATTAAATTTTCTGACTATATTGTACAGTCATGTATATCTGAAAAGCACATTGGGACTAGTGTAGACCTTTCGAAGGCACTTCAGCTATAAGCCCTCATTCTGATCAGAGGTAAAGCGCATATCGAGACACACTTCAGCATCAAGGCTAACCGTTACTGCGAAAGGCTTCACCAAGACCGGTTCCCAAACATAACAAATAGTGCATAGCTGGTTCACCACAAGGCCCCCTGCTTCCCGCCCCCTTAAATATTACTGCAAACTGATGAAACCAAAAGTACAATGAAAGTTAAACAATGAGATTCAGAGACAGGCAGACGGACAAACACACACTAATCGGTGCTCCAAGGTTTTCCAACTCAGAAACCTAAAAAGGCTGCAGGACAGAGAAACACGTCACACATGCGTCTCTCGTTAAAAACATAATATACATATAGAACTGCTGGGCCCACATGCTGCCTAGCAGGATTCAGACATGACCGGGGGGTCTCGTCACAACAGGAACCGGGGTTTGAACACAGAGGGGCTGAGGGGAGGGCTCGGCTGGCGGGCACGCAGGATCCGGGAGTAGGGCGTGCCGGAGTGAGCGGCGCCGCGCGCTGGAGTGCCGTCCCGGGACGCGGCATACAGGAAAGGCTTCTTCCCAAGGTGCTGATCCTCTGGATCAGACCCCACACCCCGCTGGCTTCTCTTTCTGCACCAGCCGGTCGCGGTCGGGGCGCCACGCTGCAGGCTGGCCAGACTTTCCGTCTTCTGCCGGAGGTCTGCCTTCACCAGCTGCCAGTCCCTCTGGATCTGCACCAGAGCCTGGTTCTGAGGTGGAGCGGGTTCGAGGGTGGGCGGAGTTAGGGTCCGTGGGGGGGGGGGGGAGACGAGTGACAGGAGGGAGGGATTCAAACACAGGAAGTGCAGCATGAGGTTAGTGTGACACCCCCTGTCTGGGATTATTATTATTATTATTATTATATGACGAGTGTGAGTTAATTCTGTGTTGGTCAGTCTTCACAAACATGAGTGAGAGTGAATTAAGAAAATGAAACGTAAAGTCAGGTTTTGTGCAGAAAGTAATATCAGGTCACAAATATCACCTTCATCAGGCTTCACTGAATGATTCAGAACAAGTTTACTGTTATAAACCAAAAGCGGGGAAGCCCTCACCCCTCAGCGAGCGAGCGCCATGCCCACCGCCCTCACCCCTCAGAGAGGGAGCGCCGACATTTTCTGAACCACCCAAAATAAATACAAAAAAGAGGCCTGAGTGCGACATGCTGTGGCTTGCAGGCCTGTTTCCGGGTTACCGGCGAGGCACCTGTTTGCCCAGCATCTCCTCCGCGGCGACCAGCATCCCACGCAGCCGCTCGCCACCCGTCTTGTGGCAGCACGCGTGTTCCGCTTCCCGCAGGCCCTGGCCCAGCCGCTGAAGGTCGGCACGCAGCTGCCGGAGGTTCTGCAGGGCGGCCAAAGGTGGCCGGTCACATGGGGTGGGGGAATCTCCACAGACAGGTGGGTTAGGACATCCATTCAGGGACGCACGGGGGGGGGGGGGCATGCATTACCAACGCAGACACACAAGGGGACCCCCACGGCAACGAAGCAGACGCGCGCGGGAGAGACTGCGAGGCACCGGTGCAGACGCGCGCGGGAGAGACTGCGAGGCACCGGTGCAGACGCGCGCGGGAGAGACTGCGAGGCACCGGTGCAGACGCGCGCGGGAGAGACTGCGAGGCACCGGTGCAGACGCGCGCGGGAGAGACTGCG